GCATTACAATGTAGTTAAATCAGAAACAAATAGTTTTTTAATATAATTTGAAATCACAGTTTTTAACATTTGAAACATTTTCGGAACACTTATTTTACCGCCTAATTAATAATGGAAGTGTTTGACCTTACCAGACGGTTCTGACCGTTCTGCTCGGGTTGACTAATGCTCAGCACACACCACCAATTTCCATGCCCTTTGTTTGAAAAGTTACTATTCAGCCGCGTGATTATCTCAAAGTTTGGATAGGCAATACTGGAGCCATGGATGATCGAAGACCACATCTGGCCGATGTTTTGGTGCTCGGCCACAAATTGAGTGATCTTGTTGGCTGATTTAGAAAGAGTAAACAAATCAACTTTAGCAACAATGTCTTTACAGTACTCACGTCTAATCCAGTAGTAGCCAAGTAAATTTTCGCTCTTGTTTTCCCCTAAGTCGCTGTAAAACTGGACTTTATACTCCGTTTTCAAATGCTCAAAGTCATCCACCGTACACCTGCCTCGGCGTTCAAATGACTTTTCATCACCAACAATAGAGGTAAAGTCCACAAACGGACCAACCGGTTTCCAGTGAAGTGATTCGTATTTTCTGTTTACATTAGATGCCACTACTAACTGGCACCAGTAGCTTTGTTTTCGGTCGACCTTTTCGATGATCTCCAAATCAAACACTGGATACGCCACGCGAGCGCCTAAATTGGCGGTCACATTGGCAAACTGCTCCGAGGCGAGAAAAACCTCTCCTTGAGCTTGATAAAGAAGAATTAGATTTGAATGATTTTTACTGCAAAAAGTATGTTTTTGTTTACCATCAACTTCATAAGTGGCAAGAAGTCCATTTCGACTGTTGAAGTACTTGACAGAATATGCTTGCTGATGCTCAAAATGATCACCAAGTGAACAGGTAAGGGTAAAAGGATGACCAGGCACCACCTGACTGACATTGCTGGCCAGTTTTGGAGGTGGAAGGATGACCGAGAGAGGCGGGGTCGTTTCATTGGAGACCGCCATCAGGCTCTTCTTGTACCAGGCTTTGCAGAAGAAGGTGGCGTTGAACTCCGCCTTTGGTGTGATGACTATTTTGTAGGCTGAGTAACTGGAGTTTTCTTGTTTGGCCACAGATTGGATGTACCGTTTTTGGTTATCGTCAAGGCTAGAATAGAAAAGCGTTTTTCGAGCTTTGATGGCCGATGCTGAAAGTGAGAAAGAAGAGGATTAGTTTTACAAAAGAGCAAAACGTTTCTAGAGCTTACCAGGAGACACGTAGTAGTACGCTAGGGAGAGCACCTGCTTCGAGTGAAAGTCCATCTCAAAATCATCCGCTCTGACGTCAAAGAGCGGCGAACTGACCTCACAGCGAACTGAAAACGGTTCACCAGCTTGTACAGTTGTTACATTGGTGCTTGCCAACACTTTCCAACTTGCTTCAACTCCACTGGAAAAAGTTGCCAGACAAATCAAAGCAAAAATGGAAAAGCAGTTTATTGCAGCCATATTTTAAGTTTTAAATATTGCAAATAAAATTTGTTTTAGTTTGCATATTATACTTTCGACATTTACTTTTTGAGTTTTAACTACTTTTGGTTACAGTGATAGTAAAATAGTTTTAAGTGTATAAGAAAGATAGGACAGCAAAGATAAGATAGAATGCAGATATATTTGAAGCCTTTTTATTAATTTGGTACAACAATTTGATAAACAAAAGAAGTCACAATATTTGGAGTACGTTGTAGTACTGCAGTGATAATCAAATAGCGTTTCCATTTTCAATTTCTGCTGTTCTTTGACTTTTTATGATTATTTCTTCGATTGTTGTTATTGTTGTTACTTTCTCGACCACCTTCTGAACCAGTGTCATCATCATCGCTATCATAACCACCACCACTACCACTGCTACCACCATTTCTTGAAGAGCCGCTGCTCTGAGAATCTCGACTGTTGCTGCTGCCAGAGCCTCTGCTCTGTCCTTCGCTGAGATTGGGCGCCAGGGGCGAACTGGCAGGCAGAATGTTTCCGTAGGTTCGTGGTTCACGATTCTGGCAGAGGGCAATGCTCAGACAAAACAGCGAAATGAGGCAGACGATGAGTATGAACTTCATCTTGTTTTGAGTCTTTGATTTTGACAGTTGAAAGCATCAAATTAAAAAATTTGATTTTTTGTTGGTGTTGATCAAGATTCGCTAGATGAAAGTTGAAAAAATTAAAATGTTAAAAAATGTGATTGCACTGATAAGCAGAAAACAATGAACAAAAAAACCCGGCTTTTAAATAGGAAATCGAGTGAGTGCAATCGGCAAAAAGCTACCTGTTTGTTCATTTTTTGGCACTTGTCAATTACACCCCCTTGATGTTTGCATAGACTGGAAATGTGGGCAACAAAGATTGTTGAGTGCTGTTGTTGCTCAAGTGCTCTGACTTTGTTTGCCCATTTTTCTAGTTTGCACTCTTGTTTGCATTCATTCTTCACACTTTTCCCTCTTTCATGAGTCGCAGTTGCTCATTTTTCACCCCACTGGAGTCACACAAACTGCATTGGAGCTGGTTGAGCTGCAAAGTCAATACAAAAGAAAAAGTATGCGGTTTGAAAAAATAAAAACAGAAAAATATGGTCATTTATCATATCTGTTTATCATGCAAACTCATTCAATGTTTGTTGTGTGTGTGTGTTTAAAGAGTGTGTGAACAACAAGAAGAGGACTGATGGTGACAGAATCAACCAAGTGAAAATACACATTGAAAACCAGTTTGATGCACTAAAAGCTTCGCATCAGCGACTGTTTTAGTTGCAGACTTATGGGAGGTAGCAATGATTACTAATGATTAAGATGTTTGAAACACTTTTTTAAGTTGGCAGTTACATTTTTATTATTTTGCAAAGTCAAACATCTATGACACAAAAAACATCTGATCAGGTGAGCATTTGTCAAAAGCTCAAAACATCTCTTTTGTTTGCTTTCCTTTTCGTACTATTGAAACAAAAGTTGAAAAGGGTAGCTGCACAAAAAGGAGGTTTTTTCCTACTTAACCGATCAGTCCACCGCTTTTTCCAGTCTTGACGACCTTCTTGGCTGCCGCTCCTCCGGCGGCAAACTTCTTGAAACCTCCTGCAGCGGCGCCCTTGCCTAGAGTTGAGTTGGTTGAGTTAAAAAACAACAAATTAGACTTTTGTTTGTACAGAAAAGAAGTACTGCACTCTTGCACTGCTCTAAAACATACCAAACTTGCCGGCCTTTGCGCCGCCAGCTGCGGCAAATCCAGCGGCCTTCTTTCCGCCGGCAGTCTTGAAACCTCCAGCACCACCAGCTACAAATTTTTTGAGAAAATGAAATCACACAGATTAAATGACAAAATCAACAAGTGTTTTTAATGAAGTCCTTACCCTTTCCGAAAGCGGCCTTCTTTCCGGCGGCACCAGCTAAAATTGGGTATTTCTGGTTAGATGCATTTTAACTTTAGCTCATCCATCACTTACCAGCACCACCAGCAGCAAAGGCACCACCAGCCTTGCCAAACTTGAAACCTTGAGCAGAGCCGAAGGTCTTCACTGCACCGAACTTTTTGTTGAATCCAGCGGCGCCCATCTTTCCGAACTTGCCACCGGCAAAACCCTTCTTGAAACCGGCCGCTCCGGCGGCACCACCGGCTGCCTTTCCGCCCTTCTTGAAACCCGCTGAGAAAAAATTTAATTTGATTTTAATAAAGATTTTCAAACGCTTCAGTTTTCACTTACCAGCTCCCCCAGCGGCACCGGCGGCAAAACCTCCTGCCTTTCCACCAGCAGCTCCAGCGGTACCTAATTATTTGCAATTATTTTTTTGTTTCATTTTGTAATTAATCTCATAACTAAAATCATACCGAAAGCTCCACCCTTGGCAGCTGCTCCAGCAGCGCCTCCCTTGGCAAACTTGGCCGCAGCTTAGAAAGGAAAATGGTTTACCAGGTTAATCAGCTGGACTTTTTAAGCAAACAATAATAATATCCACTTACCAGCTCCTCCGGCACCAGCTCCGGCACCCTTGACAATCGACTCGGCGACGGCCATCTCGTCTTCATCACTTGAGCTGGCTCTGGCCACATGGCACACGGTGACGACTACCACGGCGACAAAGAGAACGGTTTGGAACTTCATCTTTTTCACTTTGAAAGGTTAAAGATTTAACTGCTGTTTACTGCTGAACACTTGAAAATGTTTGTGATCTGCCCCACAAAACCGAAACCGCTTTAAATAGTCCAATAAAATAACAATATAGCACCAACGGAAACCCTAATTAAGGAAACACTGAGCATTGCTACTGTGGACACTGGAAACATGGCCTCCAGGGCAACCTCAACCCTCTACTTTTAAGCGGATGTCCACCAGTGTCTGTAAGTCAGTGTCAGTGTCACTGTGGCCATTAGTTCCACTTCCTTCACACAACAAAACCTCGACTTTTTAAATTATGCAAATTTTGCGGTGCTTCAGGCAAACGGCTGCCGCTGCAATAGAGTTCAGGTGACATCCGACACCCCACGAAAGGATGTGCAAACGCTTTCACCTCCCCGACTACACTTACATAAGGATTGGAAATAGGGATAAACAAACAAACAAGCAAGATTTGTAATTGCAATTGATTTAATTTATAATAATAGTATATAAATAATCATATAAATAAATCTCCTTCCAGCAGGTGTGTGGGTGGGTGTGGGTGTGTGTGATCAGAGAGAAGACAGAAAGACAGAGAAATATTCCGTCTGACAGTCTGTGTGGTGTAAGAAGTAATAATAATAAAGTCAAAGTGAGAAACAAAAAGTGGGACTGTTTTCAAGTGAGAGAAGGAGCCAAGAAAAAGTCCATCAGCGCAGTGTGTTGTTGTTTAGTTTTGGTGGTGATAGTTGTGTGTCTGAAAGAAAGAAGGAAAAGTTCAACACAGACACACAACTAGAGCACAGGGGAAACGAGAAAGAGAAGAGAGAACACCATCAAATGTGACCATCTGCAACAGTCCAGTTCATCTTTGACAGCTTTGACTTTGAAGCAGCAGAACCTTCAAAGCTCAAAGAGTATCAGAAGAGCAGAGCGTGCAGTGGTGGTCGTCAGTGATTGAAGAGGTGAATTGAATTGAGAAAGAGAGTTCCTAGTAGTGTTCGTAGCAGTGGCCAGAGAGAAAGAGAGAAGGAGGTGTAGAGAGGATCCAAAAGGGTTGGAGAATAATTGGAGAATTGAAGAAAGGAAGGAGGGAAAGGAGGAGAAGAATCAGCAGCAGAGAGAGCAGTCGAGAGTGGATGAAAAGTCAAAGTCAAAGGGGAAAGTCAATGAGGAAAGAGAAAGAGAGAGATGTCAAGAGAAGAGAAACGAAAATAGAGCAGCAATAACAACAAAGGAGAAAGATTGAGGAGGTGTTTCGCAGTGGTGGCAAGTGAATTGAAGTGAGGTGAAAGAGTGTGTGTGGGAAAACGATTGAACAGAATTTTGTGAAAGTGGAAAAAGGCGGCAAAGTGGTTAATCAAGAGAAGCAGCAGATCATTTCTTCATCCAACAGACGCCCCTCTTCTCCACCAGAACATTATCAGTGTTTAGTGTGTGTGTGAAACATTAACAATCATCATCGATTNATGGTTAATCAAGAGAAGCAGCAGATCATCTCTTCATACAACAGACGCCCCTCTTCTCCACCAGAACATTATCAGTGTTTAGTGTGTGTGTGAAACATTAACAATCATCATCGATTCGTGGTCGTGGTCAGGGGACTGTCATCATCAGCAGCAG